ATTTGTTTTTTAAAAAAAGAAGAAAAATGGGAAGTGAGAATTCTTTTTAATTAAAAAATAATTAAAAAAATCTGAAACAATTCCGAATTTTTTTTCTATAAATAGAAGAGAAATGTTAGAAGAAAAGGGGGAGAAAGAGAAGGAAAAAAGAGAAGAGGGAATTGAGAGAATTTTGTTTTCTTCTTCTATGCTAAGGGAATTTCTACTCATGTCATTCTTTCTTCGTCTCTTCTTTTCGAAAAATCTAGCTATTCATCAACCAAAACCCAACAAAAATAATTCATAACATCCCTTTTTACACGCCAAAAAGTGAAGTCAATAGTCGAGGTCGAGGATTCCATTGGAGCTCTGTTCACTAGCTTTGATGTTCTTCTTCGCTTATACTTGTTCGACGTTCGTCTGAGTTACTGTACCTGTTCTTGAAAACTCATTTAATTGGAAATTTTGCATTAAAGGTTTATTCTTTCCTCTATTCTTTTAATCTTATTTCATGTGATTTTATGTATTTGCCTTTAAGCTTTATAAATAATAATGTAAATTAGTCCTTAAATGATATATACTTAATCATATTTCTAAAAATATGGTATTCAAACTTGCTTTAAAGTTGGGAAGATTAGGACCCTAATAAGTTTGGGCTTCAATTGTTGGATTGTAGGGTATTGGTATATGACGGTTTATTTATTCAAATATCTAAAATCATACACTTCTTCTACAAGTAATTCCATAATTCATGACCTTACAATAATCTCAAATATATAGGAAGAATAATGAACACTGATAGAGTGCTTTAGGCATGCCTTTAATTAGTTTATTGCGATTATGTATACGTTCGCGTGGCATAATTGTGATTTCCAAAAATAAAACCGAAGTATGTATTAACTATGGCCAACATAATCTTAATAATAAAATTCTATTAATTGTGTACATGTACGCGTGACAAGATTTTTGCATAATAAACAAAACGGATTCACACACATGATTCGTTTCAAAGATAATTTTATATTTTAATAATTAAAAGTGGATAGATAAAATATGAAAATCAATAAATCACAGTTTATTCAAAATTAATTCAAGCCAAGTTGTAGTCAATAAAGCGACCGTGTTGGAACCACGGGACTTGGGGAATGCCTTACACCTTCTCCTCGGTCAACAGAATTCCTTACCCAGACTTTATTTTCGCAGACCAATAATAAAAGAGTCAAATCTTCCTTTGAATAGGGATTCAAATAAAAGGTGACTTGGAACACCCAAAAAATCAATTCCAAGTGGCGGCTTTGTAAATAAAATAATCCCTACTCAAATTTGTCACTTTAATTGGAAAAACTCTTTAACCCACAACAATCCATACACATATCTTTTGTGCGGTAAAAGGGGGTGTGACAACCATTTTAATGAGTACTAATCTATTTTCATTCTTAATTGAGTTATTCCAATATGTGTAGCTATCATGTTTAGTCTAACACAATATGTCTACGTGTCTTAATTGTTTATGTGAATTATGTGCAGTATGCTTAGTGAATTTCCTGCTTCTTCCTTGACTGGTACTTAGTCTAAATTGTAAGAATTTTGTGATGTAGTCGTATTTCTATCATTCGCCCTGCACATTTACTTTGGGACTACGGAATGGTATTTTGGGAGATCCCCATGCACATTTACTTTGGGACTACGGAACGGTATTCCGGGAGATCCCCCTGCACATTTACTTTGGGACTACGGAACGGTATTCCGGGAGATCCCCCTGCTCATTTACGTTTGGGACTACGAGACGGTATCTCGGGAGATTCCCTGTTGTGTTTCTGTGTACTGAGTTGTTACCTTCTATGATTTCATTGTTGTTAAATTTCAGCCTTTATTTTATTGTGGTATTACACTCTATATTATTTTATTATATATTTACCAGTAGGGCCCTGACCTGACCTCGTCACTACTCGACCGAGGTTAGGCTTGGCACTTACTGGGTACCGATTGTGGTGTACTAATGCTACTCTCTATACATGCTTTTCATATGCAGATCCAGGTGCACCTTATCAGCCGCACTATCAGTGAGCCGGGACAGCTTTGGAGACTTCAACGTATATCTGTCGCGTCCACAGATCTCGGAGTCCCCTTCCACTCTTTCTCATGTTCATCATTTTCTGTATTTTTTCTTGTTAGACTCTGACGTATAGAGACACTAGATTTTTTCTTGTATAGTTTGTGATTCATGATGTTCCGGATTTTGGGATTTGTTGTTTATTTTTGAATAATTGGTTAAATTTATATTTTTATTTCATTATTCCGCAAAATGTTAGGCTTACCTAGTTGTAGAGACTATGTGTCATCACGATGTCACACGGAGAAAAAATTGGGTCGTGACATGCAACTAACATTTTTATGCACTTAAGGCCAAATAGGCATGAAGTGCAAATTGCCCAAGAATAGAAAATTGTTCTTCAAATTATAACAAACCAATATACGATTTAATACCTAAATCTACTCCAAATGAGCTCAAATTTGAAATATAACCACCAAATATCATTAGGAACAAACTCTAATCATCAATTTATCAAAACACCAATAAATCTAATGAGCCCATTTTGCAATTAAGAATAATAAGAAAAAGAAACCCTAAGCAATAGTAAAAAATAAAGCGTCATCAGCTCGCCATTGTAAAACATCATAAACAACATTAAAATATGTTCACAACCACCATATAAAATCATTGTCACCCGAAGAAGAAGAAAAAGAAGAAGGAGGAGGAGGAGAAGAAAACAAAGGAAGAGAAGGAGAGGAGAAAGAGGCTTAAAGTTGGTTAAAAAGTGGGTACAAGTTAAAACTTTTTTTAAAAGTGAATATATATTAAATGGGGGCGACCAAATAGGGCGCCCTGTGCAATTTTTACTAATAATTAGTATATACACTAAGTTTTATTATTTTTCATGTGTGTTTACTGTATTGTTCCTTTTAATTTTAGGGGGAAAAAAGGCAATGTATATATGAATGATGAAACTTGTACTCTCTTTTGATTTTATGGTGGATTTGATTATTAATTATCTTTGACTATTGGAAACTGTAAAAGTTACTCATATGAGGAATCACGTGGTAATTGTGGAGTTATTGAAGGAAATGATAAAAAAAATTCTTAACACAAAAATGTGTGCGGTATGTCATTAGTATCTTTTAAGTCTTCAAATTCAGTAAGGCAATTGTTTGGAGAAATAGATTAATTTTGTAAAGTTAACAAATAGAAAACAAATGTCAACATTAAACTTTTTTAAAAATTTTTGTTGGACTTACAAGACGTTAGTTAAGTTGTTTAACTATTGGACATGATTTACTTTTTAAAAATAGTAGAATACTCCTAAATTAAAATGTGTATAATTTTGAAATCATTTCGGAAATAAATTTACATAGGTATGATCTATCTTTGCATCTACTTCGTCCTTTGATTTGTCAAATGCATTTCTTAGATGATTACTATATTATGATTGTTTTGTAAGTTGTAGTATAATTATTTTTTGTAACATATATAAGTCTACCACTTTTTGAATTAAAAGATAAAATTAGGATTTTAGGGCAAAAGGAAAGTACTAGAGTTATTTCTTCCTATTTTGTTGGTTTCTCATGTATAGATATCTGCATTTAGTTCAATTGTCTACGATGATTGACACATCGCTGTTCCAGCAATGTTCTGGAATGTCACACTTTAACATTTAGACCTTGCGCGGATTTACCGTCATAAATAAAGCTTCAAATAATAGTCCACTTCACAAAGTGTACATGTATTTTTTTTGTGTAGATAAGTGTGAATACTTACGTGGAACAAATTCTGAGACGATGTTACATATTGCCAGTTTCATCAGAACTTCTCAAAATTTACAATGTTGCATCTCAAGAACTTAAAACTGCACCTTGACTAGATTAAATCAGCAAAAAAAATATTTTGTTGATCGAGCCCTGGCAAGTGATGTAAAAAGTAGTTATTATAATTAGCTATAACTAAAAATATTTTACAAATATAATTAGAGAAAACTGTTTAATTCTTTAAATAGTGCTCCTTTTGTACTATTCTATGTACACACCTATATGTGGTTTAAAGACACGACAACAGACTTCCAATCATATTCTTGCTAAATTAAGAATAAGTGGAGAATGATATATTACTAAAAGACAAAGAAAATAAACGAAATATTTCGAGTGATAATTGTAGTTAATAAGTGAGAAGTTTCAATTGTGTAATATATTAATTTTCCACACTTTGAAACACCTATAGAATTCAATATTATCTGAAACGAAATATGTTACTTATTTATCAAGCATTTAATTAAGCTCCTAACAATTAGAAAACAGTTGATAGTTGAAATCAAATTGATGTGGGAATGCTGAGTCAGCAACATGACTTAATTGGACTCACAATAATTCAATGCTTAACATAATAGTAAAAAATTACAGTAAGATGTTGATCAGGTCCCTCAATTCTTAATCAGAAATTCGAGTTCAAATTCTAATAATGTAGAATATTTTAATGGAAAGGCTTTATAGCGTTAGTAAGTTTATCAGATACAAATTCAAATTAATCAAGTTACTTTGAATATCGGAAGGTTAAACATGAAAATAACATGATAAACTAAAGATCTCTGTTGTCAACATTTCCCCTTAATTCTTCAATTTTGGCCGATATACACAATAATTGCCTTCTTATCCTTTTCAATAATAGATCCACATTCCTCTCTATACTTATTCTTATCTTGCGTGACATATTGGAAAAAGTACACCAACGCCACCGTCCTTGTATTTATTCACACTTTTCACTATTAAAATCCCTCATATCACAGCAAACAAATAATCTCATCCTCATACATTTCCACATTACTATTCGAACATTCCTCTTTAGAACCATCTATTCTAATCCAAACCATTGAAAAATCTTGAATTTTACACAATCTTCTTCTTATTCTTCCATATATATCTAAGTTCCTAGCTATTTAGTGCTAATCTCCAAAAAACACACAAGGTGAAAAATGAAGAGTAAAGTGAGTAACGAAAACAGATTCATGGGAATTCTTGCATTGCCATGGAAGGCTTTAACAAAAGCAAGAGACTCTTACGTGAACTGTATGACAAATTACTCAGTGGTGAATCCTCGTAAATTGCCAAAGAGTTATAGTACCGTTAGCTCGTCTACTTACGATAATGAAGATTTTGGAGAGCTAATTAGAGCAGCATCTGCTAGAAGCATAGGGGATAATTTTGAGTTAAACTTTATCATGCAACAACAGATAAGGCAGCAGATGATTTCGAGGAAAGTGACGAGGAGTTGTAGTGTGGGAATGGCAAGAATTGATGAAGACAAGCCTACTGTTTTAGGAGAAGATCAAGAAAATGTTGTGATGACGAATATGAAGAAAGACTTGAAGTATCCAAGAAGTAGAAGTTATGCGATTACAAAGAAAAATAATGGTGTCTTTTGAAGTTAATGGCTCTTGGTTAAGCTAAATTTGGAGCAGGTGATGGATCTTAGAAGCGGATTCAAGATTTAAATTTGGTAGTTCAATCTTCAAGGTTTTTAGGCGCTGAGCGCGTTCTATTTTGAAAATTATGGGTTCAGAGTTTAATATTTATTGAATTTTTAATCACGGACGTCCCGACGAATCAGTCGGAAATCCATCGAAATGTTACCGTCGAGCCATATTCTGTCGGATTTCTCACGTCTGTCAGAATTTACCGTTTTTTTTACTAGTGTTTAATTATGTTTCTATATCTATGTTCGATGTCAAAAATAATGGATCAGTCGAATCCAAAGAGGGAAAAGCCATTGAATCTGATTATACTTTCTTCTAGTATTGTTGCCTCTACGAAGATGATCATTTTTCTTGTATTTCTTCTCCAAGCTAGGTAAGACAAGTGTACCTAGTTACTCCATCCAGTAACATGAAAACAATAAGGCTTTTGTTTTAAATTAATAATTTTAACCCCAGAAATTTAAAACGTAAGAGTAGTTGAAATGAGATGAAACCAATACTCGTAAACTATTAGTAGATGCTTAGAGCTGTCGATACGGGCCAAGCCGGGTTAGCCCAGAAACTGACGGGTTGGATTGGGCTAGCTCATCATTTTGATGGGCCTTATAAGGGTCAGCCCACCCCATCCTTATGTGGGGCGCGGACCCTCACAGGCCGGCCCAACATTTTTTTAAAATATAATTTTATATTTTTTCTTTAAGTTGTAACCTAAAAAAAGATAAATATTTAAAAGTTAAAAAATATCTTATTGGAAAAATTTCACAAAACTTATAACTTTTTATATTTTTCCAATATATCACGAATAAATATTAAAAAAAAAGTAAATGACAAGACTATATTTCATTCACTAAAAGTCAAAAGTCAAAACAAACTATTCAAGCGAACGTCCATGACGCTTATACCAACACATCATCTTCATCAAACACATTTGAATCCCCTTGTGACAAGGTTGTCTTAATATCTACATCTACAATTCATATGCAATATTAATTAGTTAAATATTAAGAATAATTAAATCTTAAAAACTAATACTATTCAAAGTCACATAAAAAAATATTACCAATTTGAGTTTGGGAAAAGCCGTGCAGCCAATTTTGAGTAATAACAAGTGTTTGGACATTTTCATGATGGATGCAACTTCTATACTTTATCAGAACATGCCCACCAATGCTAAATGTTGATTCCGATGTTACATTGGTAATAGGAATACTAAGTACATCATGCGTTATCACTGAAAGATCAAATTTGTTTCAACCATATTTTCTTGACCCTTTTTCTTCTCTTTCTTTGGAGCACGATATTCTGCAGCTTTGTGTCCAAGCTTTCCACAATTATGGCAGTTTTCCTTGAATTTTTCTTGCTAGGATAGTCCTTTGGTCCAAAAGACTTCTTCCTCTTTTTTGGATTTGTTGGATCAGTCTCAACAATATTTGCTCCCATAATTGTTAAGTTTCCACGTGTCTTTTTTTCTGCAGCTTTATTGTCCACTTCGATCCTCAATCGAACGATTAGATCTTCGAGTTTCATCTCCTTGCGCTTGTGTTTCAAGTAGTTCTTAAAGTCCCTCCATATAGGAGGCAACTTCTCAATCATTGCTGCAACTTGAAATTCCTCATTTATGACCAAATCTTCAAAGAAAAATTCATAATTAGTAAAATAATTAATACTTTCAATAGAAGTATTAATTTGGATTATACCTTCAACAAGGAGATCAGGAATTATAACTTGCAGCTTTTGAACTTGGGTAATGACATGCTTGCTGTCTACTATCTTATAGTCCAAAATTTTGGCTGTAACAAACTTCTTCAGTCCGACGTTCTCAATTTTATATTTCTTTTCCAACGTATCCCATAGTTTTTTCGAAGTTTTCACGTTACTATAGACGTTGTAAAGATCATCCTCCAGTCCGCTAAGAATGTATTTCTTGCATAAAAAATCTGAGTGCTTACATGCCTTAGTCACGATAAAACATTCATTCTCAGGAGTTGATTCCGGCAGAACTGGAACATCCTCCTTGATGAATTTCTGTAGACTCAAAGTAGTCAAATAGAAGAACATATTTTATTGCCAGCGTTTGAAATCAATCCCGAAAAATTTTGTCATGTTAGTTAGATAATTATGTATAGTTTAAAAGTATTTAATGTAATGGTATCTACACGAACACTTCTTTGTGGATAATCTTTTTTGTGTGTGCGTTTCCTCCTAATGCGTTGGTTGCTCTGCATTAACCAGAAATCTTGTTGTCGATCTTGATATCCCTCTTGAAAGGCAACATACAGTTGTTCGTGCAAAAAAATATATTGCGATAAAAGGATATTTGCAAAACATAAACATACTGAAAATTATTTTCACACAAATTTATAAGGATATTCCTTAGTTTCGGAAGCCGAAAGTTGAATTCAGGGATAAGAATAGACTTAGAAGCACATTGACCAGTATCATAATTTTTGCATGTATGACGTTATTGTCAAAATTTCTATATACTATTTGTATACTATCACACAAATCTAAGTTTTTCAGTAGCATGATGTGCATGTTTTTCTTCAAAATTAACCTATATACAATAGAAGATCAATTTTAACTTAGTCTATTATATATACGGTGACACTAACATACGTAAGAAATAATAAACTTGACAACAAACATGTATGGTAGAAGGCCATTTGGTATTAAAGTATTTAAGTATTCTTCTTGGCAGTAATTATTGGTATCATTTTCTACTAAGTCAAAAGCTGAAAAATATTTTATTTTTACTATAAAATTTTACAATCAACCTTTTATTTAGTTGATCAATATATTCATTTCTGCTAGCTAAGATATCTTTTTAATTCTATCATGTGATTTGCACAAATTTCGTTTTAATCTAATGATAGAAATATTTCTCTTATTAAATGCACTAACATTACCATTGGGATTGATAACCAAGTGTTAAGGAAGAATCAAATCATCTTTTATTGGATGCTCTTCTTCGTTGCTGACACGAAGCAAGAAGACACTGAATATTGGATTTGTTCTTACTTTATATTTCTTGTCAGTTGAATCTTTTTCATTTGAGGCCAGAAGTATAACTTTGGCAAGATAGCTTTTACAGTTTCTGCTTTTGTCGATTTTGGAACTACTGGTAGTACTTGACAGAAATCACCTCCAAAATCATTAATTTTCCACCAAACGGTTCATTAATATCCAATATATCTTTAGAACTTCGGGCAATTATTTCGATCATTTGACACTTAGCCATAAGTGCGTCATCCCATATTATCAATTTTGTTTTCCTTATAAATTTAGCACCATTGCTCTGCTTTGATATATTTGTGATGGTTATTTAAGTTGTTTGAAGAGGTATATTAAATTTAATGTGGATGGCCTCACAATAAAATTATTGTTAGTACACCACTTGCTATTATTGCTAATAGTGGCATGCCTCTTAATATGATATTTGCAAGTAATGCATGACATAGAAATATTATTTCGATTCTGACAGAGGCATCTCGTTATTCCAAAGTCGATTTTTTATAATATAGTCTTGAAAGCTTGTTCTTGATTAGGATTTAGCTTTGATTGTATTTTCTAAGACACTTGTATAGCATTCTGATTCGTAATAACTGTCACGACCCAAAATCACGCATGTCATGATGGCGCCTAACTCAATACTAGGCAAGCCGACAATCTCAATAAATCACAATTTCTTTTAAGTTTGAAAACATAACATTTAAATTCAGTACAAAATGAATCTCACAAATATCGATATAAACACTCCCAAAATCCGGTGTCACTGAGTACATGAGCATCTATATATACTAGTCTGGAAAATACGGTCTATAATAGTCATATACCAAATATAATAAACAAAAGATAGAGAAGGAGAGACAAGGTCTACGAAACACTGCAGCTACCTTGAAATCTCCGAAAAATCAACTGTGCAAAAGAATCAACACCCACAATGTCCGAGATCACCTGGATCTGCACACAAAGTGCGGGGTGTAGTATGAGTACAACCAACTCAGTAAGTAACAATAATAAATAAGAACTGAAAGTAGTGACGAGCTTCACAACTAAGTCCAAATACAACAATTTTCAACATAAAATGGTAGGCATACTCTTAAATTCAACATTTAAAATTTTACAATAATTTCATATCAACTTCGACTGAAACATAGGATAATGTCTTTCAGAAATTTTTAAAACAGTGATATATGACAACTGAAATGCAGCAATAATGAAAACAATGCATCCTCTCAGAGTAACACTGACTCAGTCCTCCCATTCACTCCAACCTCACAGTCACTCTTTCCTCACAGTCACTCATTCCTCTCAATCACTCGGCACTCGGTACTCGCACTCACACTCAATAGGTACCTGCGCTCACTGGGGGAGTGTACAGACTCCGGAGGGGCTCCTCCATCCCAAGCGCTATAATAATCCAATCATGGCATATAACAATGAAATATGATGCGGTGTGCAGCCCGATCCCATAAATATCCTTACAATCAGGCCCTCGGCATCACTCAGTCATCAACCTCTCCAGTCTCTCGAGCTCTCATAAATCATGATAAGCAGCCCAAACAGCAATGATATAATGCATCAATAATGAACAATAGAGGCTAAGATGTAATGTGCAAGTAAAGCTGTGACTGAGTACAAAATAGCAATTTAGCAGATAATTCAACATGTACACGACCTATGTGGGTCCCTACAGTGTCAACACATGGTTTAAACATGATTTATAGTTCGATTTATCTAATACGTGAAAAATATACGGATATCAACAGATTATTCAACTACACATTTCTATAGAATTGACCAAGTCACAATTCCTACGGTGCACGCCTACAAGCCCATCACCTAGCATGTGCTCACCTCAAAACTAATCACATATTACCGAATTCGGGGTTTCATACCCTCAGGACCAAATTTAGAACTGTAACTTACCTCAATCCGATCAATTCTTT